AAAAAATAACAATAAATTTTTTTGTTTTGTTTAGTATCAGGGATTATGAGGTTATACGTAACACGTATTCTTGATTTTAAAAGTTTCTTTGGTTTTAGATACACATATAATTAGATACCACAACATGATTTCATATTTTATCAGACAAAACAATGCAGCCTACCTTAGGTAGGGCGTAGTCGGAGTGCTAATACCTTCCCTTTATGCAACCAGTCTCCGTACCCAATCTCTAAAGACCAGTTAGGGTTCCTAGTTACCAGAATACTAGGTGGCGACTCCCATTCAATGTTTTCACTGATAAGAGACAAGAATTCCTTGTCTCTTCATATATTGCTAGAAATACACCACATCCCATCGTTAGCATGGATGGTGGATGATCGTCGCGACGCCGCACACGTGCGACAATAATTATTATGATAAAACATGATCAATTGTTGAATCTGAATTCTTCATATGAACTAGTATATATTTTGAATTGACTTCTGAATTAACAGTTTCTCATTTAATTGATGTCATGAGTTGAGCCTTGAAATATAAATATGTCTATTTGATTATGATTATGAATTTATGGTATACCAGTCAGAACATCCATGCTAAAAAGATAGTATTAGTCTTTGTGCACATTGTATCTGAACCCTAGTTAGTCGGGGGAGTAACCAACCTGTGTAAACTGATCATCCCATAGTATGGAACCTCATACTCATTGCATTTTGATTTTCTGATGAGCTTTACCTTATGATATTCTTGTTATGATCTATTTGAGAAACTTTTCTATAAAAACTTAGAGCCATAATTGTATATATATTCTCATTATTGTATTACCTCCTGTGCAATGGCGGAGGTAAGGAGGCTGGCAAGGGCCCCGACCCCTACACGAAAATGTTTTTTCTAGCCCCTCTCTTGAAATTTTAACTCCTTTAGAATAATTCTTTTAATTTGGACCCTTTTAATTTTTTTTCTTGCTCCACTTCTGCTCGTGTGTATATATTAAACGTTATCTACTCATTGAATTGAGACCTTACAGAAATTCATGGTTACAAAAGGATATAATGGAGATGATGGCTTCTTAAATTCTATGGTCTGGCATCAGATAACATAGTCATAATCCTTTTGCTTCTCCAGTGATCTCAGTGAAAAAGAAGAATAGCTAATGGAGACTTCGTGTGGACTCCATAGCACTTAAAAAACTGAATGTTAAAAACAAATTTCCTATACCTTTAATTGAGGAATTGCTTGAGGAACTAGTGAGTGCAACATTTTTATCTATGATTAACCTAAGAGCAGGCTATCAGAGATCATAATAAGCTCCGGAGACATATCCAAGACTGCATTTACAACTTATAATCCCCATTATGAGTTTTTGGCATCTCTCTTTCTCCCTCCCTGCTGTATGTTTATTTCTTATGTGCTTGTTTAATGTGTCCATCTCAACTTGGATAAACTTTCTGCAGAAACTATTGACAGATCTTGTGAAATAAGAAATTACTATGCAATCCTTGGGCTCATGGATTCCATGTAAGGAACGTGAACCAGGTCGTGAAATGGAGCCTCCCCACGTTGCAATTGATGGTTGCTTTCATGAATAATGATTTGACAGTTAAAACTAAGAGATATCATGTCTTTTGGATGAGGATGAAAAGTCTGTCGATCAAGTAAACACTAGTAGAATTGTTAATGCAACAAAAAGTACAGTGATAAGTGGTCGCTTGTCTTTTAGGGTAAAGCTCAAAAAGCTGATCTCAACTGTTACCATTTTTGAATTTGTGCTGGCATTTTAACAGAAAAAATTATTTTGGAAAGAATCAATAAAAGGGAAAAAATTACTGAAGATAGAAAAACCACATATCTTACAGGGATCCACATTTAATTTGAAAATCTTTGACTGGTCGCAGAACCTACATTTATAGTGGTTTCATGGTGTGAAAGGGGAGGTTTGAATGTCTTGCATCATTTGCTGATTTTTTTTCCTCCTCAAATCCGAACCCGTTCGTTAATCATTTTGCCTCGTGTCTTCAATCCTTTTGTTTTCTTGTTTCATAGGTAGGGATACTGTTCAGGGTAACCGATGAGTACTAGTTTCACAGCCTCTAGCAGGCCTTTAAGATGAAGTCATGTTTGTTCTATTCAACTGTCTGGAAGCTGTGTATCCATGTTGATAATTGATTCATAAGCATAGATTATCGGACGCTTCTTTCTACCTTGACTCTTGACATTTTTGCACTTGTTTTTACCTTATCTTCAGGGCAGTTACAGCGCTTTTGCACTTGTAACGGGAGATTTGACAACTGAAAAGAAAGAAAGAAAGAAAAAAATCCTTGGCATATTCGTGTATGTCTATAGATGACATGTTCATTCATGGCATATCGGCCAAATTGTAAATGCAGGGCTGGATAACCAAAGTTAACTGGACCTTGTTTCTGTGATTTGTGTTTGTAAATTCCTTCTTTTCGAAATGTGTTCATATATTCTCCAAGCTAAGAACTCTTATTCTTACTACGCAGTCTTGGATCCATTTCATTAATCAGTTTTCTTGGTGGTTTAGTTTGTGCTGCTATAGGTTCTGTATACGAGAACAATATGAAAGTTTGCACAATGTTGCCGGAAGACAGAAGAGTGTCTAAGATCTAGCCAACCGGTCAAACAGCCAACCAGGACCCCATTACTTAGCAGCAGAGCGGCAAAAAGGTTCGATATGAAAACAATAAAGTGTAATGATATTGATAATCGTAAAATGCGTAAATGGGTTGTACAAAAAGTGCTATTGAAAATGCACCAAAAGAGGATAAATTAATGCCTTTTCAATTTTAGGAAGAAGGCAAAGTCAAAATTGTAAGAGCTGTAATATTGTTGGAAGAGTAGCCAGGTTGACAAATTGATTCACAAGTGCAATTTGGTTCTCCACAGCTCTCCAATGACTTTCCTTGGCTGTGGATTATCTGGTCCTCTGTCACGCTGCCCTGATGTAAAGTACAACCAGCCATTCCAAAAACCAGCAAGGGTAGTCTTTATTCGGAAAGGAAGCTTTCCGATCACTGACCATGTCTGCAATTCAAAATGGACAGAAATTTTCAAATGTTTGCCCATTGTAATAACCATCTGTAGAAAACTGATATAAGAAATTTGTTTAACAGTCACCGACTTCTCTTGTATTTGTTCAAAGGAAAATTATTTACCACTAACACCTAAAATCTGGATTTTAGTGGGCTGTAAGTGAGCACATAAAGAAAGATTAGCTTAAGGAGTGGCCTTGTTGCAAGCGGGGTTGGCATTGCTCATTTATGCGAAATGCCATTGATGACAGATGACACCATTGCTTACAGAAACAAGGCCAACAGCACGCGTATCTGGTGAATAGCTGCTTACTTCTTTAGATTATAGAGGACATGAGTGTAGCACAACATAACGTATGAAGATAAGTTTTGATATTTTCCAACGCACAAAAGGAGACTGCTTTTGGGAGTTTTGATATTTTCCGAAGCACCAAGGAAAGAAGTGACTGCATCATCGACTCCTAAATGAGTCGACACAGCAAGAACGACCAGCTACTGTCGACTAAAGTGGTCCATGACAGGTATTCTATTGACCAAATTGACAGCTGAAAATACATGATATGAACATGAAGCATAATCCTTCTTAAGAGGGGAAAGGTGAAGACCAGTACCAGCGAGTCCAAATGGAATTGGAACACCTCTCCAACCAGCATCATCCTTTTCGTATTTGGGTGTTTTTCTGTAGTACCTCCAGTGATGATAATTGAGTTGTTGACAATTACCCAAGCACACTCAATATGGGAGTCGGGTTTTGGCATTTCAGGTAAAGTTTTCCACTTCATTTCATCATCTAGCATATAAACGTCGCCATAAACTACCTGAAACATTGCAGAGTCTGAAAACTTTATCATTTACCGCCAAAAATGACAGAGAAAGCACAGCTCGTTAAAATCCACTATGTTCTAATTAAAACAAAACGATCAACCTGTATACCTCTTTCCTTCGAGAACACTTGAAAATAGGCGACCCAGGTTTAGCCATGAAATCACCCTCTTGACCCCCAATGACAAAAAGCCGATCATTGACCACGATGCAGGCCCTGTCACCAAAGTGATATTCACGGTTAGAATACGGAAGATAATCACCGCATGATTAGAGTTGGGTGTGAAACATTTTCGCAGGAATGAATGATCCAGGCGAATTAACCCTCAGAACAGAATCTTTGTTTCCAATTTCAAACATAAATGAAGGCAGCAAGCAGACCTATGTGGTCCTCCACGGGGAATGGGTATTTCAGAGCGCCACTCCTCCAATGCTTTTCCATTCTTTACTGCAATACTCCAGTGATCCACACCAGGTGTGTGGCGATTTTCCTTGCTGCCACCCATCACATGCAGTCTGCCTCTCCATAATTGAGTTGCAGGTGCATACCTGAAAACTCATGTTAATAATATTCAAGGCATTGAGTACATAGCTTTGAAATATTCAGCTTCGGATAGACTGCTAGTAGACACATCTCCTATTTCACAGTTGCAATTCTTTCATGTTATCTAATGTCAATGCCAAACTACATTAGGTCCTGCTAGTACAGAAATAAATTTGATCCTTTGAGATCACAACTGTTACCTAGCATCAAAAGCTAAATTGATGTTGCTATGCATAAAGGAGTCAATCCACACAATGGCCTGTTGTGGTACCACACCTACCGCAGCTCATTATACATAATAAAAATCAGTTAACGGAAACCAATTTTCTTAAAAGAACTCCAATAAAGAATCAATAACTAAAAATTGGCAAGAAAATGATGATAAATTGGCGTTTGGGAACAGGGTTACGATGGAATCATTAAACCTGCATAGATGAACATGCACATCACATGAATATTTGAAAGAATCCGATGATTACAGGCTATCAGATTGTTCTCAGGAATGTGATGACAACACTTGTTTTCTCTAAATAAAAAGATCAACAACTCTCAAAACATGACAAATTAGCTGCCAAGGCAGTAAACACACAAATACAGGCACATGAAAGAGGTTCATTGGTCAAAACACTAGAAACAGGAATTAGCTTGATAATGAAACGGACTTGAAATAAGCAGTTGAAAATTCTGATCCCCAGATTGGATAAGAAAGTAAGTTCAACACTCATGGATTTCCTGCTCAAGTCAAGTACCTTGGTGCCGGTAATGGAGGCAATCGGTGCCATTTCCTTGTCTCAGTGTCCAGTGAAAAACAATTAGTTATGGCTGTCCTGCATTGAGCACCATATTGTCCCGAGACAATGTACACGTATCTCCCATCTGTTGCCACTCCCAAATGTGAATTTGCCATGTCTTTTGGGGTATCAAATTTGTCACACCATGTATTATCACTGAAATTGTATACATCAACATGAGAGTGTACCTATAAGATATAAACATCCAATCAGACAAGAAATAAAACACAAAAAATAAAAATCATTGATTTTAATCACAAAAATCTATTCCACGGTTTTATACGAAAGATTTTTGAAGCATTGTTGAAAATCAATCTTCAATTGGACTCGAAGGTAATAAATCAGGCAAAGCATGAAAAATTCTCACATGGTCAAGGTTTCTATATCCAACAAATACATAAAGAAGGTTCTTGATCTGCACTGAATAACCATCAAGACGAGGCACAGGTGCTGATGGCATCTGCTCCCATTCTAACTCCGGTGCTGGTAAATCAGCAAAAGTGGCAGAGAAGACTCTCCCTTCTACATTGCCATTTTTATCTTCAGAACCTTCTTTCTAAAGGAGAAAGAAAACAATGAGCATTCAATATCAATAACAAACATCATCAAATCAAACAAGATCAATATCCCAGTTGATAACCATACACATTGGATAGAATTCAAAAGTAACAAGAAAGAAGAAGACGACAAAGATCAATGTATTACCTGGTGGTCTTGGTTGGTGTGATTGTGACTGGCTACATTATTATCTGCAGATTTCTCAACAGCCCTGTTGAGGGATGCAATGGATTGATAAGTAAAAGAAATGGAAGAAGAAGAGGTCCCAAGAAAACGGGCAAAGAGAGCGATCCCTACAAGTGTTGCAAATGCCAGTGCAAACACCAACTTCATTAAACCATATTGCTTGTTATTAAACCCTAACTTAGACATTTTTGTCTGAATTCAAGAAAACAAAGAAAAGCTATTTTTATAGCAGCACATTGAAACACAGAACTTCTTTCGTAATCCATCGTCCATTCGACTGATTTGTTTCGAGAAGAGTTTCGGCGCCAATGGTTTTTAGTTAAAAACGTGTGGTATCGTTTTCTGTCCCTTTACGTGAGTGGTTTTTTTTAATTAATTTATTTAGAAAACAAATAGATAAAAAATAGAAGAAGTAAATAATATAGAAAAATTGATGAAAAAGAAGATATTATTTTAGAATAAAGTAATATTAAACCTAACACATTATTTTATAATAAAGAATAATTTTATAATTTTTTTTTTTATGTTACCTAGTAGACTAGTGAAGACTGGAAAAATTAAAAATAAATAAATTCAATCTTTTTATTTTTAGTGATTTAATGACTTACACTTCTTAGTATTAAAAAGGTAATGAAAAGGATGATGAATTGACGAATTCATTCTAAAAAATGAAATTCCATGAAAAGAGTTTGAAATTTTTATTTTGCTCAAAAACACAGATTTAAGTTCAAGAAATGTTTTTTTGGAATATTTCAAAAATATCTTGGATTGATTTTATATTGTTTTCAGCTTATAAAATAGATTTTTTAATTAATTTTTTAGGTTTTTCCAGATAAAAACAAGTTAAAATAGAGGTTTTAGATCCAAAAACCTAGAATTTAACTTTTTTACTATAGCTGCTGTCAAGAAATTGAATTAGATTATGATGAATTGTTGATCTTATTTTAAAAACAATTAAGCCAACGACACGTTTTTCGCTCATTTAAGAGAAAAAAAGTCTAGGCATATAATCTTGACATTATAGTCCTAAGAATGTCAGGCCGACTCTTTTTGGGCAAGATATGTTGCCTAATCATCCCAATCCCAACACTCGGCTTTTTGCCCTTCGAAAATTTTCTTTTTCTTTTTTAATTTGTAAGATTGAATAAGATTAACTATGAAAAAAATAATTAAAATGTTATTTAATTTTTTTCATAAGATAATAATTTATTTATAATGGTATTAACAATTACTTTTTGAATTATTATATATAAGACTAATAAGAAAAATTTATAAAATAATATGCTCATAAATATTAATTGATAATGAAACATCTATTTTATTATTCTGTATCATAAACTTTTCACATGAATTTTTCAGAGTAATTATTCTTTCATTTTTTCTTTTATTACAAATTATAAATTATCAATTCATGATTTTTTCTATTTTTTATTGAATATTATTTTTTAGATTATAATAAGTTTTTGTTTAAAAGAAATGATTTTTATAAAAAAATATTTTCTTAAAAAAAAAGAACAAGAAAAGATATTTTTGATTCAAAAGATAAATTTTCTAATACAATCAAAGAAATGTTAGATTTGAATTTTGATGTCAAATCACATATTATCCAGTTTTATGCCATTAAACATAAATCTAAATCAAACCGTTGGGTTAAGCTGAAACTTCACCAGAAAATTCCAGAGATATTTTTATATGTTAGGTATACTTTCAAGTTAATTAGAATTCAAGAAAACCTTGTAATAGAGGTCAAAACATGTTATATGAATTTTATTATTTATTTATTTTGACTTTTAGACTTCTTATTTTTCAAGGATTCTTTTTTCAATAAGAATGTGACAACTTGTTTTAGAAATTTTTTTAATTTTACAATAATCTTTAATGGGCTGTGACATAATTTACAAGTGTGGCGATTATAAATTAATGTTCAAAAATCATTTTCTTACAAGGATTTCTTATTCATCTATCTACATAAGAAAATAAGGACTCATGGTATTTAATAACATATTTGTTATATTATTCTGAGTTTCCTAATCCTACAAGGAATATTAAAAGGAATATTAAAGGAAGATATCAAGGATTTTTATATTTTGAGATGATTCTTTAAAATTAAAATTAATTATCCTAAACAAATAAGGAAACTAAAGGGAGGCAACTTCAACAATTGATTTCCTAGCTTATCTTGGACATCTAAAGGTGGCAACAAAAACCCTAGTGTTTCTAGGATGAGAAATTCATTCATGATATTATTTAAATTAGGAAATTTATCTATCTTAGGTTATTTTATTTAATTAGGTGTAACAACTTTAGTTTATATGATATATTTGTTTATTTTTATTATTTTCTTCATGTTTGGGCTTAATTAATACTTGGTTTTTAATTAATATCAAATGATTGTTTAGTTAGTATTCTAGGCTTATCAATAACGTTGATGCTTTAAGATAAGTTTTTATTATATAAAACTCCTGTTAGATTTTTTTGGCTTTTTGGGATTATATTTCAATCTGGATTGTGGGTTGTAAGACCTTATTATCACGAGGTTCTTATCATTTTCCATTCCTTAATCCATATGATTGAGATTTTTATAAATATTTATTTTAATGATCTTTAGTTTTTAATTTAAAAACATGCTAATAATAGAAAAAAGATATGCTTTTGTAAAAATAAAAACAATGCCTTGAAAAAAATTGAAAATTTATCCTAATAAAAAATATATATACTATTACTTTAATAAGAAATATCTACTTGCATTATAATATAAAAAATAAAAATTAATTTTAAAAACTACCATGGAAAAAAAAACTTGTAATTTATTAAAAAGAAATGCTACAAATAGAAAATCTATAATATTGTGGAAAGAGGAATTATTTAGTTGATAAATTAAAAGCTTTTGAATCACATCAGTAATGCATTAATAAATTAGTTTATCTATTTTGTATGAAAAAAGATCTAATCTATTTCATTGAATTCCATAAAAACTCTGAATTTAAATGTGTTTGAGCTAAAACATCATTATAACAGGTGATCTCCTAGAAATTACTGTGCATCCCAATCCACATACAAGTGTGCGATCATTGTTAGATCTCAAGCTCACGGGCTCTCTAAACGCTCACCTATAGGTGGTGTCCAGGAGTGTGTCCACAACATGAAAAAAAAAAAAAGATTAGATTAAATTAATAAGAATAACTTCAAGGCAAGAGAGACTTGCTCGTTTAGCCATTGATGAATAACTTGTTTTTTTTCTATTGTCCTTAGAGAGCATGGATGTAACAAAGTATGTATATGACATGAACCTATTTAATATTTGACCATTTAATTAGCAATATTGATGCGTGGAAAAGCTCAAAATACAATAAAAATTTATGAAATCAGCATAATTGATAAGTAAAAAATATTGTAAACACAAACTTTAAATTTACAATTTTATTATATGAAAATAAAGTCTAATAAAGTCTGTTCTTTAAAAAGGTTTACAATGCATTTAAATAGGTTAGAAAAATGATATATACTTGCTAATTGAATCATAATCCTAAAACATAAAAGAAAATAATATAAAATAACATAAGAAATTTGGAAAAAAATCAAGGAAAATTATCATTCTCATGTTCCCAAAAAAGCTTTAATAACAATATAGGTTACTCACTCTGAAAGCCAGTAATATTAGTTCTTAATGAAACTTTGACCAGCATAAGAAATCTGGAAAAAAATCAAGGAAAATTAGCATTCTCATGTTCCCAAAAAAGTTTTAATAACAATATAGGCTACTTACTCTGAAAGCCAATAATATTAGTTCTTAATGAAACTTTGACCTAAATTTGAAAGTGCACAAGTTAGGCTAACCAATCACCGACTTGTCCTATCTTGCATGAAGAACAACATTCCACCTCATAACTTGGCCTTGCTTAAGATACTGGTGGTTTTGAGATTATTAATATGGCCTACGCTACTGAAGATAGATAATGATATAGATATCTTTATAATTATAAGGAAATTAGGCATATTGTAAAATATCATAGTAAGAAAATTTTCAATTATTGCAAAAATAAAGGTTATATTTTTATGATTGTTCTATTCACCTTTAGAATCGATCCACTTCTACTTTTTATGTTGTTGTACAATTTATTTTTATGCCTATATCTTCTACACAACCTGTTCTTTCAAGTTTTTCTTCTAATAGTTCTCTCGATCAGGTTCATTATATGATTATTTTTGCTCCTTTTGCTCTTAGTCTATAAGGTAAGAAACATATTCTTACTTCCATTAGTTAATTGATTATGCAGTTTCCAATCACATGACTGGTAATCCGATTGCTTTACATAATATTAATACGTATGATTGTAAACAACATGTTCAAATCACCGATGACAGTACTCTTTCTATTACAATGATTGTCAACTTGGGATCTTTCTTTACTAATGTTGTTGTGACTTCTAATTTATCTTATAATCTCACTTTAGTTGGATAATTAGTAGAAAAAAAATTATTATTTTTTTATTTTGATCATTGTAGTTAGTGTATGCAGGTCAAGTGTCAGGAGAAGAAATAACAATGGGGCCTAAAGTGGGATATTTTTTTTCATTTTCAATCTTTTTTTCTTTTCTCATTCAATTGCTATTGGTTATTTTATAATTGTTAATAAAATAGCCAACTTTGGCATAATAATTTGAATTATCCTAACTCCATAATTCTAACACATCTTATGAAACATGCTTATTTGAATAATACCAATAAGTTTCTTTATTTTCATTTGAATGTGCTCTTTGTAAACTTGGTAAAACCAAGTTTTTACCCCTTTCTTTATAAAGTAGTCATGCTTCTATATGTTTTGAAATTATTCATTCTGATGTTTATGGTATGAGTCATGTTTTTTCTCATACTCATTAAATGTATTTTGTGACATTTATTTTCTTATACTTAATATATATATTTTGTGACATTTATTGATGATTACAATCATTTTACAAAAGTTTATTTTCTTCGTTCTAAAGTTGATGCATTCCTAACCTTATAAAATTTTATTGTCTATATAGAAACCTAATTTTATATGTATATTATGATCTTATGCTCAAATTCTAGGGGAGTTGCATGTCTCATTTTTTTCAATCTTTTCTCCAACAAAATATTATTATTTCTCAGCGTTCATTTTCTTACATTCCTTAACATAATAGTGTTGCTGAGTGTAAGAATCATAATATTTTAGATGTTCATACATTGATACTTGAATCTTTAGTTTCTTTTAGATTTTACATAGAAGGCTTATCTACAGCTATATATTTGATTAATCATTTCCCTTCTCTAATTTTACAACTTAATTCTCCATATTCTTGTTTATTTGGTGTTTCTCTTGATTATAATTCTCTATATGTTTTTTGTTGTATTTGTTTTGTTCGTTTACCTCTATTAAACATCATAAACTTGTTGCTCAATCTGTTCAATATGCTTTTATTGGTTGTAGTGACTCCAAGGTTTGTATGTTATGATGTAGAAACTAAGCTTTATATTTCTTAGAATGTGATTATTTTTTAAATGAATATTTCATCTTATCCTAATTTTATGTCTTCCTTTATTTCACTTCCTCGTTTTGATGATGTGTTTAGTACTTCTTCTCATTTTAAGTCAGTATTATGTATTATAGATGTCACCCACTGTCTCTTTATTCTTCAAAATCATTGTATGATTTTATCATGAATACTCTTGCTAGTCTACTAGGGTTTTCTGACCCTTGGGTTGGTATGATTTTTTTTTTTTTTTGCTCTTCAAGCTACTCTTGATAATACTTTTGTGCCTAAATCTTATTCCTAGGCTCTTACTCAAGAGTGTTGGCTTCAAACTATATAGGATAAACTTTAAACTCTTCAAGACATCACCCCTTATCCTATTAAAGTTAAACTTATTAGGTGTAAATAGATATACACCATTAAAATATATGATGATGGTTCTATCAAGAGACATAAAACTTATTTGGTGGAACATGAGAATTGACAAAAGTATAGACTTGAGAAAATGACTATTGTCTATACTGTTATGGCCATTATTGTTTATAAATAATGGTTATTTCATTAGATGGATATGAAAGATGGATTTTTACATGGTGATCTAAAGGAAGAAATCTTTATGTCTCCTTTTTCTGATTTGTTTTCTTCTTTTTTTTTCAAGGTTTGTCGTTTAAAATGATCTCTATATGGTTTAAAGCAAGCAACATAAGCATGGTTTGGGAAGTTTTATATTAATCTATTAGATTTCACATTTATTCAGAGTTAGCATGATTCTTTTATTTTTTTATTTTTTTTCCATACCGTCCTTGGGATTGTTATACTTTTTATGTATACTGATGATATTGTGATTACTGGATCTAACCTTCAATTAATTGACCAACTCCAACAACACCTCAAATATTCCTTTATTATGAAAGATCTTGGTGCCTATATTTTCTTAGACTTCAAGTTCAACATTGTCTAAATGGCACACTCTTACATGAATATAAGTATACCTAAGAACTTTTTTCATTAACTAGCCTTCAAGACAATAATTCAACTCTTAAATTATATAATCCTTTAATGTATTGATAACTGGTGGACAGTTCAAATATTTGACCATTACTCAACTTGATATATCATTTATTGTTCAATAGGTTAGTTTCTGTAGGCTTCATGTCATACATATTTGGCTATTGTTTTTTTATCTTCTTCGATAACTTAAAGGAACATCTAGTTTTGTTCTTCCCTTCCAAGAAGTCTTTATATTTGGTAGGCTTTAGTAATCCTGATTCAGATGGTTGTGTGGATACTTGCCGTTTTATTGTGAGTTGGTATATGTTTCTTAGCAATGCTCTCATTTCTTGAAAGAGTAAGAAGCAAGCTTGTGTCTCCAAGTCATCCACTAAGTATGAATATCAAGTTATGTCACGTGCTTATTCTAAAATTGTATGTCTTCATCGGTTGTTAGGTGAACTTAAAGTTTTACAACTTACTTCATTCCTCTTCATATTGATAATACTAGTGTTATTTAGATTATTATCAATTCTGTTTTTTATAAGCACACTAAACATATTAAAGTAGATTCTCATTCCATTTGTGAAGCCAAAAGATTATTGTTTTATACATTTCTACTAAACATCAAATTGTTGTTATTTTCACCGAGGCTCTCTCTAGTAGTCACTATCAATTTTTGATTGACAAATTGATATTTGTAGATCGCTAACGTCAATAAGCAAAGATAGCAAAATTGATGGTTTCTTATGTGTTACTTATCTAGTCTCTCTCTCTCTCTCTCTCTCTCTCTCTCTCTCTCTCTCTATATATATATATATATATATATATATATATATATATTGTAGCTCCTAACTCCACTGAAAAGCAACCATTAATAGTACTCTACAAGGTAAGAGTAAAGCCTATCAATATATTTACCTTGTATATCTTGTAGAGTACTATTAATGGTTGATTTTCAGTCGAGTAAGGAGCTACAATTTCGATATATATATATATTTTGACAGGCTTTACTCTTACCTTGTAGAGTCATTTTTAGTTGAGTAAGGAGCTACAATTTCAATATATAAAGAAGCAACTCTCACAGGTTGATAGATTCAGACCAAAAACCTTATTGGCATATAGAACATTTCTGGGTTCAAGGATCTCTTTGCTGCCAAGATTAATAAAAGCTGGCTGGTGTTCTTCTCGTGGATAAAAAAGGTTTACGGTTATCATGAATACCAAATTCATGCACTGTTTTTTTGTTCATGTACTGGTTTTTTATTTATGTTGGTCCTTTAAGTTTAATGTATTAAATCTGTAATTTTACTGGACCATTTTCTCTTTGGTCCAAGTAACTCTTTAATCCAAGTTAATAAAACTGAGATCACATTCAAATAAATAAATAACATTCATGGACATTGCCCTATCAAGAAACATGCAACATAACATAGCTGGAGACGAGATAGATTGTGTTGCCTCAGCTTTGCGTTAGCTGGATCATGAAGAGTGTGTTCGAGAATTCAAAATAGCTTCAAATCATATAAATACACAAACTTCAATCCAAATAATAAACATATAAATACGCAAACAAGTAGCACGCATTGTTGTCTTAACTTTACCATTTAGCACTCATAGTAGTAGAGTTCAGGAGAGAGGCGTGGGGTGATATGAATTTCCAAAGGAGTCGCCTTAGGCAAGGTTATAGCTACGCCCTCTGTCATGTCCACTGATTCACCCCTTGGTGTTTTCATGTCAAAACCCTGAAGCAATCTGGCAAACGTCAAATGAAGCACTTGCAATGCAAATGTGATACCAGGACAAGACCGTCTTCCCGAGCCAAATGGAATCAACTCAAAATGGTGACCTAAAACATCTAAATTTGCGTGATCATTGAGAAATCTTTCTGGCATATATTCATCAGGATTAGACCACAAATTTGGGTCCCGATGCAGCTTCCATAAATTTGTAAACAGACGAGTGCCCTTTGGCATGTGATATCCGGCAACACAAAAATCTTCTGTTGCCTCATGTGGAACTGACAAAGGACCTGGTGGGTACAAGCGCAATGTCTCTTTGATAATGGCTTGGATGTACACTAAGTTCCCAATATCAGAGTCCTCTGCCCATCTTTCCCTGCCAACTTTGAGGTCTAGCTCTTCTTGGGCAAGCTGCAATGACCGTCTATTGTTCAACAAATTGGATAAGATCCATGTCAGGGTGATAGATGTGGTATCGGCACCTGCTATGATAAGAGTCTACACCATAGAATTAAAGCATCGTGAGAATCAAGCCTTTCTGACAAATAGAAGAGTTGCAATTCGCAGCTAGATTTAACCTGCTCATGTAGAAATAACACATCCTGGTCCTAGACACGCAATGGAATTTACCAATATCAGAACCAAGTAAAATTTACTTCATCACAATTTAAGGATAATTTTAGCGGGACAAGAATTGTTTCTCTAAACCCAAACTCAGTTCGATGGTTTCGCACGAAGGAACTACATGTACTTATGGGCCTATAATTCGAAGAAATCATGCTATATGAGTTTGCTAGCAAAAAAAAAGCAACTTGTAGCTATAAGCTAAATGCCAGCATAAATTAGAGACCATACCATTGCTGTTGCCTTGATAATTGTTTCGCGAGAATAGCCAGACATGGAATCATCCAGTAGGGATAGCATCACATCTATGAAGTCGTCGTCGTCCATTTTGTTAGTGTTCTCAGTACTCTCGAGCCTCTTCAATTTATGTTCTTGAATCCAACTTTCCATAAGGGAATCCAGTTCCCTCGAAAGACGCTTCATAGTTTTCACGGATCCAAGAAAATTATTAATCCATCCAAGAAATGGAATTAAATCCGAAGGGACAAAGACACCGGAAATATACATGAACTCCTTCATGAGTTTTCCAATACGTTTTCCTTCTTCTTTTTCAGCTTCCGTACTACTGAAGTATCTCTTTCCTGCAATCATTCTTGTGATCATATTTATTGTCATCCGCTCAAAACATTCACTAATGACTATCTTGGTCGAGCCTTGCTTATTGCTCTTGCTGAGCAAGTACAAGTCATTGATCAAGGTATTCACCTCTGAGACCTGAACATGCCTCAAAGACTTGAGCCTATGGCTGGAAAGGAGTTGAATCGTGACTATCTTACGCATTTCACGCCAAAAAGGACCCGAATTTGTGAAACCAAATGCTGCATAATTGTAGCTTAGGTACTCCCCGTGACTTGATCTTGGCCTGGATGATAAAATCCTATCATGTGTTGTGAAGCACTCCTTAATTGCCTCAAGATTGCTAACCACAACTGTAGGGTGCTTTCCCAGCCGAATTGTGAAGATGGGACCATATTTATCTGCTATGGCAGCCAATGTTCGAGCAAGCGTCTTTTGTGCCCCTAATAGATGGAGATGGCCTATAAGTGGCAACGCACCAGATGGTTCAGGTGCCTGCAAACCCTTTTCAGTTTTGCGCCTACTCTCTCTCACCCTGCGTAAAGTGTACCACAGAACTAATGCTAAAACCGTTGAAATCGCTAATAGATGAAAAGAGAAACCCATGAAAACCAGCATAGTGTTGGAGTTTGAGGGTTATAATTTGTCTAGTTAAATCACCATTTCATCTCCCCTTCAAGCTAGAAATAAAAGAAGGAAAAAGACTAGTAAGACTAATTGATAGCCAGCCACTTTGACCAAAAAAAAAGTAAACGTTGCAAGTTCAGTTTGATTGGACGCTATCAAGACTTTTGAGTCCTGTGGAATTCATGGGTCCATTAGTCGATTTAGGTTGCAGTCATTGTCATGACTTTACCTTCTTCTTGGTTGATATCTTTGCACTCACCTTCTACTTTTCCATGGGGCTATTATTTTTCTCTGGTTAAAAATTTTGATGCACAACATTTCACCATCGTCTCATGTTTTCTGGCTTACCTGTTGGGTCGTGCCTGCGTTTTCTAGTTCTTAGCTGGAACCACAGCATAAATTGCAGTTGCTGTAACTTTCTTTAAGGAGCTGGAAGAGCACCATCCATTCATTCAAGAACTTTGTTTTTGGTGGTAGAGAATTTCAGTGGAGGATAAACGTTGCTGATGCCTTTGAAATTAAAATAAAATATCTCAATCACTTTTAAGAATAAACAAAATAAGCCCACCTAGATGATAGTTATTATTAGTTAATTGACATGCAATTCACACTGAATCAGATTTTTAAAAATATAAAAAAATATTAAGATTATCTGAATTATTTTTTTTTTGACAATATCATTAAACTTCATAAAGATTACCTAAATTTTTTTTTGACAATATCATTAAACTTCATAAATTGAATGATTAATAATTATGTGGTTTGAATTTAAAAAAACAAAAAAAAAACTCTATAACCTAGAATGCAGGATAAATCTACTTATTGCCACGAATACTCCTCACTCAAACCATATTGAAAACCCTAAGACAATAACCTCACTCTCCAAGAAATTGGTACGAGGTCTTACTAATGTTATATGCATAGCTCTCTAAAAGATGAACTAAGTTTCTCTAGTGTTATATGCAACACTTTTTAGGGGATGAACTTGAAATTTCAGTTTTATGTACACAACTCTCAAGGGATGAATTTGATCTCCCTATTGCAATATACCCACTTTTCAATTGATGAACTTGGTCTCCCCATGGCAATAGTCTCACTCTTCAAGGGATTGGTATGAGGTTTTCTCAGTGTTATATGTACTACTATCCAGGGGATGAACTTGATCTCCCAAGTACTTTATGCACCACTCTCCAATTGATAGAATTGGTCTCCCTATAACAAAAACCTCACTCTCTAAGAAATGAACTTGGTCTTTCCATAACAATAGCCTCGCTCTCCAAGGGATTGATACAATGTCTTCTTTGTGCCATTTGCATAACTTTTTATTAGATAAATTTGATCTTCCTAAGGCAATACTCCAACTCCAAAGAAAGAACTTAACCCCTTAAGGTAACAATCTTGCTCTCCAAAAAATAGATCATAGATCTTCTTAATATAATGACAACACCCTCCAGTTACCACTCTTTAATAAGGAACTCTCATGCACCATAAAAAAAATAATCATGATGATCACTCTTCAAGAAAAGGCTTTTAAGCCCTCTAATAATGCTCGTAAAGTCATAAACTTCCACTATTCAAAAAACTTATAATCACTTAAAAATTTCTTAGTATAAATTCATTCTCATTAGATTTCATACGGCTACCTAGGAATTAGGAATTTTTATAAATGATGGGCATGGTGCCCTCTATTTCTTAAAAATTTTCTTAGTATAGATTGTTGGAATTTTTTGTCCAAAAGAATTTTTTTAGTCCAAATACACATTTTCTTGTCTTTTTTTTCCAACTTACTCCTCCTTTTTATACAAGCAAAACTCACCACTCTACCCAAGCTGAAAATTAATTAAAGTATTTGTATATTATTATATCTCAAAGATTGGGAGATTACTAATGAACCAAGATTTTATCAATATATTTTTATATATCTATTTCAAAAATGTTAGATAAAAAAAGCGATACACGTACAATTTTTTTGTGCACTTTTTTCAGCTTACACCCTTTTTTATGCAAGCAAAACTCGTTACTTTACCCGAATTAGAAATTAATTAAAGTTTTCATGTATTATTATTTTTCAAATATTGGAGGCTACTGATGAACCAAGATTTTATCAGTATATTTTTTATTTTTTTCAAAAAAAATCAGATCAAGAAAACATACGAGTATAATTTTTTTAAATTCTCGGGCACAATAGGTTGGCACACACTAGCACCAAACACACCTAGTGAAGACATACTAGGTTTAGCCTAAGCTAGCTCAAATGCAGCTGGGTCTGGCTAAAAATAGACCAAAAAATTATTGGGTCTGGTGCTGATCGGACTTGTTGAGTCTGGCAATGTCCATACCTAACCACATCTAGACCAGATAGAGCGTTAAGCCTAGGCATGCTGGACTAACAACAGCTACTAGGTCTAGTAGCTTGCCTTACATATGACTCCCAAAATTGTCAAGCCCTAAGAGCCTAATGCATGGCCAGATTCGCTACACTCATGGATTCAAATATAATAATTGAATCTAAGGCCATTGAATTCAATAGATTTTTATATAAAATCTTAGAGGAACTATTTCTCAACAAATAGATTTATTAAAGTCTCTTGTGACCTTTCATGTTTTTATTTTTTGTTGTATAGAATAAATAGAATATAACATACAATACAACTCAAAATATCATAAATGTAAAATTACACTATAACCTCTTTGCTCCTTAAAAAAAAAAAGACTCGTGAGCTATAAATACACCATAAATTCTTTAAAATAAAAATTTGTAATCTTCGTTCTCTACATATTTGAGAGCATCTATCTTTAAAATATTATATTTTCTCTCTTTATAAAGATACTTAAGTATATGGAAGTCCTCACATCCACTAAGAAATTAATGATTAAATAAATACAAGCTACCAATCATCTTGACTAAAAAAAATGATGAGGTTACTAGGATCAATTGATTAACTGATTATCCAACTTAAAAGCTTTATTTCTAAGCTAATGGAATTCATGGGGACTTCATAAGATTACATGTAATAAAATAACTAGGATTAAAATACCTTTTTTTTTTATAAGAAAGACTAAATAATTTTTTAATAAAACTAAAATAATTAATTTATACACTAACCTCATTATTCCATTGTGTATCAAAAATCAATTATTTAGATAGATTTAATTTCTTGATAAATGTTTCACTAGTTAGAAAATGAAAATGAAAACTAAAATATCTTTATCATAAGAAATATTAAAAATATTATTTTTTAAAATTTTGTATAATTTTCATGTAGGCATAATTAAAAGTAAAAACAATGTTTTTCATATCATATTATTATTAGATAGTTTAATGACTTTTTTGGTTGAAAACCCATAAACAAAAAAGTAGCTTTATTTTTCCATGTAACATAATGTTGAATGATTAAATCTAAGAAAAATCAATTAGAAAAAGCGACTAAAAAAAAACCAACTCGAGTAAACTTAAGTCAATTTATCAAACCCTGATCTAAGTTATAAGATTAGGATAAATTTATAGAAAATAAATTAAAAAAATTATGAAGATACACTTTAATAGATCTAGTATTGAAGATTGAAATTGAGAAAAAAAAATTAAATTCATAAGACTAGTATATAATCCAATAAAAAGAAAATAAAAAAATAATTACTAGGCACAATTTTCAAAACAATATAATATTGAAGGATGAGATTTAACAATGAAACTAAATATATATAAAAAAAATTGGGTTGTTGAAGGGTTAAATTGAAAAAAGAAATCACAAAACACGATTACAATAAATAGTGTTTTGTTAATAATAGCATTAACATTATAATATTTATGATTTTTAATATGTGATCATAAAAGTTTTTTGGTTAAATAAATCTATTTTTATTTGATACTAATACTATTTGAATTATAGCCAATTGATAAATACTTTCAATATTGTTGCATCAAAATATAAAGTTTTTCATGTTGTTAAAATATTATTAGATGAATTAGACAATTGTGCATAAATTTAGTTTATAATCATGTAATCTATAAAATTATAGTAAATTTATAATCATAACAAAAGACTAGTATGCTTATTAAGCAAATATATAAACTTGTATAAAAAATTGAAATATAATCCTAGTAAGCATACTAATTATACATAGATTTACATATAAGAGAATAAATCTAACTAAACTAGCTACTAGCATGCATTATGAAAATATGCTTAAATAAAACCAATAAAAAATATTTATTTGTTGAAGAACTTTGCATATAACATATCTGAAATTTGTTATTGTTGTTGATGATCAATAATTTATCCTTAAAATTTTATTACTCATCACTTAATGCAAAAAAAACTAACGGTAATAAGCTTTCTAGAATTTCAATAACTACTCATTGTTTAGGTATACTCTTAAACAAGATCCAACAAATTAAAAAACTAAAACTCAATAATTTCTTTACAAAAACTAAATATATGCTTTAGATTAGAAGGTCAACAAGCAAGAAAGTTATAACTTAAAGATAGAGGAGCTATATTAAACATTTAGATCAAAAAAATAAGGTCAAATTAATTTATGAAAACAATAATTTACTTTATAAAATAACCAAAACTTTAATGGATAAAAAAGTAAGGCATGCATATTGCTTGAGGTTGCAATTTTATGATTACATAAGCCTAAATCTTAGGCCAACATAATCAGGAAGCCATTTATGATGATGATAATAGATATAAACATGGTACAAAAAATAAATGGGTGGTGGACCAATTTTGGTATTAATTAGCATGTTTGCTATTATCAAAATTGATTTAAAGTTTATATCTTCATACTCCTTATAACTTATAAGGAGACCAGAGCAATCATATGCCATAAAGTACTTGGTAATGAAAAGAATTGATATAAACCAAGTCAGGTCTAAATTTAACCATAAAATATTTGCTAAACAATTTTGCAAGATCAAGGATAAAACTCTCAAATTATATATTGGATTGAGTCAAAACTTTATTTTGAGATACTAGACACGTGAAACTATATTATGACAAATCTTCATGTCAAATAGAGTTCAAAAATATATTATTTTATATAGTTAAAGTTATTAGACAGATGTTGTTAAATTTGTCAAACTAGGTCTTCGTGTACTGTTTAGTACATTTCTGGAGCTATAGATGGGATT